GCCATAATCCAGACCCGATCAACAAGAAACACAGCCACCAAAAACTAGGAGACACTAAAGGCTGATTTATACTCCAAAACTAGGTCGTCTGCGTAGGTGTCGCAGTGAACGCAAAGATGTCCCCGCACCTTCCGCAGACACTCTGCTGCACCTCCCAAAGTATAGGTGACCCCAGACAGTGCCGCAGACAGGAGGCCTCTGATTGGTCAAATCTACATCCAATTGCCGGCTTTTATGGTTTGTATGACCGCAATTGCAGAAAACAACTCGTGAAGTTGGACCAGCTAGAAGAGCCAGGTGCACGAGAACACTGGGACCCTTTTTCCACCTGGATTCTCGCTCTTTTTCATCCTCACGTCCCTCCGTTGTCGGACAAACTTGCACCCACTTCCTCACAGCCTCAGCTGTATCTAGACCCAGAGCTAGTTCCTGATTGTACCTCTTGCGTTGTGGCGTGGAATATAACATAGTACAGAAAACGCTTCAAAATTTAGCATAAATCAGAAATGTCTGCAGCAAGCTCACTGCAAAACACTGCTGCGGGGAGTATAACCAGCCCTTAAGCTGGTGAGATCCTAAGTCATCCAAGTCATTCCAAAAAAACAACCCTCTGGACTTTGTTTTTCAAGTTTGAAGACATTTCACTTCACCATCCTGGAAGCTTTTTCTATTAAAAATGTCAAAATTAGCATTGAGTTTCAAGCTTTTTGAAATTAGGAGACACTGAGAAGGAATAATCCTAAGTAATGATGGAATAAAGAAAATCCAGCAAACACACTAACTACAGAATAGGAGTATATATGTCAAACAGAACAATGAATGGAGTAATCAACTGATTGGGAGCAGGTGTGAACAGAAGGATCTAGAAGGGAACAAGGGGAAAGGAGAATGGCACATGGTGGCAACAGAAAGTAAACAAGAAATATAACAGTGCTTAAATATAACCTGACACTAAATCAAAATGAAAATAACGATTTAGAAAAAAAAAAAAAATTGACATAAATCAAAGTGTAACTGAAAACCAAAAACTAAAACTTACAGAGAATAAAGAAGTCCAGAAAGGGAAGAATCATGACAAACTGGCAAAGACTGGAAAAATAAGCCTAAAATTTTTTCTCCATCTAATCCGATTCAAAATGGACTACTTAACAAAAGAAGGAAAGAAAAGTTTGTGACTAATTGCACCTCTTCAACCTCTGCATTATTTACGCTCAAACATTTTGATGTTCATTGACATCGCTTATATAGCTTCTTTTAGTCGATTCTTTTATTTAGCTCCATAAATGTTGAAAATTGGATGGGTTTACCATAATACACAGGAAGTTCATGTTTAGAGTGTCTTTTTGGGCAATTTCGCTCACTGTGTTTTTGTTGGTCTTATAAAATTCCCCCATAAAATACATCAAAGTTGTGGTTGTGACAACTTGTGAAACAGTTTAAGAAATATGAGTATTTCTGTACGTTCTGGGTTGGGTAATATTTGCTGCACTTTTAATTTATTTTCCTCTGATCACCTCGTTTTCTGTTCTTATCCTCTCCTAATTTGCCCTTATGCCCTCTTCTCAGTTTTTTTCCTCCTCTTGTGTTAAATTTATTCCAGCTCTGTTTTCTATTTTTTATTTCAGCTTTCTTGTCTACCTGGATGCTGATTCTTTCCTCCTGTGTTTCTTACTCTCTGGCTGTGCTATTTTCTTCTGTGTGAGGTTGTCACTGATTTCTCAGCTCTTGCTGTCTCTGCATCTCTCTCCCTGTCTATTTGCACGTCTCTCTCTAGTTCCCTCTGCCTCTTATTCCCTTGTTATAGTGCACTCTCTCCTGTCACTGCCTTCCAGGACCTCATTTAAACACTCTCCCCTCACTTCTCTTCATCCTCATGCCTCTCCCTCGCTCATCATTCCAGAGTCCTTTCCTTCCATTCCTTTCCCCTTGCATCGTATACCCCCCCTCCTCTTTTCCCCTTGAAGCTTCCATGGGTCTAGAGTTCCTGCTCTACATATAGACCTATGGCCTGGATTGTTTTTAACAAGTCTCCCAAGGCTAAAACTGACACCTGTTAAATCCACATGTTCTTTTCATCAATATACATCATTCTATATTACCAAAGGCCTTCAAACATTATCTAAGATAATTCAAAGCTATATTTCAAAGTTGCCTCTAAAAATAAGGTATTTTGCATTAAAATATTTATGCCATTTCAAAGACTTTGTTGTTGTTTCTTTATTTACCCCTAACATTTTGAATCCTTAACCTAAAACATTGCTGTGAAAACCTTGGCAGCAACACTTACTAATGTTGTTCACGGTCAATTAATTTTGCTCAAAGGTCAGGCCAAAAGATTTCAGTTGGGCTTGAAACTGGACTTTTACTAGGCCAGTCCCAGACCTTAATCTTTTAAAAATAGTTAGAAGGTGACGTTCTGTTTACATCATGTACAACTTGATAGTTGAGCATTCTGCCTTTCATTAAGTGATAAAAATACAAGGTCCGAATGATAAGGCAGCAGCAGTACATACAGTATTATCACAAACTACCACCATGTTCTGCATAGTAAATTTTAATTTATTATGACGTGTTACTTTTATGCCAAGTGAACTGCATACTTTAAATATTTATATTTGGCTGAAATGTAGATGTAACATCCCTACCATTTAAACTAAAATGCACATCTAGTAACAGTAAAACTGTTTCATAACCTTGATAACCCTGATTAAATCACAATTAAATCATAATGTATTTATCTCCACTGAATCAAAATTATTTCTATAAAATGCAGACAGACAGACAGAATATGATGGTTCTGTTGATAGATCGATAGATAAACTTGTTTTTGGAAAGTTGTGAGCAAACAAGTCCGTCATAAAGTGGGATAATGATAGACGGCCACAAAATAAACAAAAGTCAGATTGTTACACGTTCTTTAGTGATTTGTTGCCGTAGGTTTAAATTTGTATTTACTATGACGTGTTACTTTTATGCCAAGTGAAACAAACCATTCCAATAGTTCCACTTATGCCTCATCAGTTTAAAGAAATGTTTTGTTACAAATGTGAGAGATGCCTTTGTGTTTAAATCTGCCATGTGTGTGCATATGTCCTGCACCCTATAAACCTGGAAAAATAACTTATCCTGTTTATCAAACTGATCACAACATCCCAACTGTGTGTACAGGGATGGCAGAATCATGCTGTGGGGTTCTGATATGAAAGTGGTTAGAGTCAAAGGGAGAATGAAATGAGCTTAATGCTGGAGCATCTTGGAAAGACTCTTGTTCGAAGAGGTTAGAACCTGGAGTGAGGATCAATAATCCTGAACATAAGGCCAGAGCTTCAGCTAAATGATTTACATCCGCAGTTTCCATACCTCCCCCAAAAATAAAAATGATAAAGATTTAGAACCATAACTCCTGTTTTTAAGAAGAAGAAAAGCCATAAAGATGCATAAAGATGCAGCCTAAGGTATAATATAGCAACCAACATCTAAGTATATTCATGCTTTAGAGTAGACAACGTATTAGACTTGACTCTAAAATCTATGTTCTCCTTCGTATCTGTATCCAACCTGACTGAGCCTGACCTATTTTCTAAAAAAGGATTGCCATGAAGTTCATTGTCTAGATGTGAAACACTTCCACAGTAGGATTGAAGTGTGAACCCAAGGAGCCTAGAACCAGTGCACATCACAAGTGCACAAATAAAACTGCTTCATATTTATGAGTTATCTTGTGCTCTACTTTGTTGAGATAAAAACATAGACATTTGTAGTTATGTGAGGAATTGTACAGGTGCTAAAAGTGTATGAATTTTGTTTTAAGGCTTTGTAAATCCTGATGCATCTTCAATAAAAAAGAAAAACTTAATTTAACATACACCCCCCGTAAGTAGAGATATACAGAGCATGTTCCTAGGTCGAAGCTTGCTCAGCACGCATGCTTGCCTTAATAGTAGATTGCTCAGTGAACTTAGAACATGCTGAGCAGAAATGGCTTGTTCAGAAAACCCTCAGTGAGTGACACCCCACAGATCAGAACACTTCTGCCTTCATTAAAAAGGAGTTTTGTGTGTTTTTACTTTTACTCCAGGGAGGTTTCTGATGAGCTTCTGAAGAACTTATGTCTTAGACTGGTTGCCATGAGAGCCTTCTCTCTGCATTAATGCATCTAACGAGCACAGGAAGGGGGCGACCATCCCTGCACAGACACATATGTCCGATTAGAACTGGTTACAAGAGAATGTCAGCTCTCATCAACCCCACCATGCAAACATATCTTCATAGGAATATGATTACTGGGGATGGCAGGGAGCTTTGAAATTGAAATAATCCAGTGTTAGACTGAGGGGATCTATTAAGCAGCTGCACTCAGAATGGAAATTCAAAGCTTTAGCAATCCATCCCTACTGCTGAAAGGCAACAGTCAAAACACCTCAGCGGTGGTCAAAACAGTTTTTTTTTTTTTGCAGTAATTTGCACTCTGTACAAAAAAGAAGAGGCATTTGCATTTAGATGCGTGGTGCTTTAATTGATTTTCATACAGATGTTTCATTGTGTTTGCTGTAAACAGATGGCAATATTGATTAAGAAAAGAGAGTCTGGTTCATTGCGAATGAATCAAGCAAGAAATTGAGCTTGTTGTTGTCAGAAAGCCATCAAAAGGCTCAGAAATGAAGGGGGAAGGATTCAGAGACAAGGTAGGATGAATACAGATTAGCTGGTTTAAAAAAAAAATGAGTGAGGAGGCTGCTAATTGATGAAGTGTGTAAAATCTTACAAGCTTACAGTGTTTTCTGTTTATATCCAGGTAATTCTACTTTAATGGGCTTAGAGAACATGTTGTTAGCAATGCCTCGACTCAAAACAGCTTTCCTCTAAAGACCTTCCCACGTTACCTGTGTCATCCTCTCATCATCTGCTCCTCTTCTGCCTGTACTCTCCAAACCTCCAAACCCACAAAAAACAACTGCTTCCTCTTCCATTTAGAAATGCCTTCTGCTTCCATCTCTTACCTTGTTGAGAATGATAACCGCCTCCTGGTTCACACCGGTAATGTTGAAGGTGTCCCCCGTCTCTCCTTCCAGGATGGTATACTCCAGCTTGGCATTCTCGCCCAGGTCAGCGTCAGTCGCGGAGATGCGTCCGATCTCGGCGCCTGGGATGGCCAGTTCAGACACGGAGAAGGACCACATGCCTGACAGCAAATACACATGATGCATCCATTAGCCAAGCAAAGCTATGGGTTAAACTCCACACTTAAGATATACAATTCAAATATTCTTACATTTTTAGGAGCTAAAAGTTTTACATTCAAACCAACTTTTTTCTTCTTGCCTAAGCTTTGTACACCCTATGATTTCCCTATGAACTGCATACTATAAATATTTATATTTGGCTGAAATGTAGATGTAACTTCCCTACCATTTAAACTCAAATGCACATCTAGTAACTGTAAAACTGTTCCATAACCTTGATAACCCCTAATAAATCACAATTAAATCATAATGTATTTATCTGCACTGCATCAAAATTATTTCTATAAAATGCAGATAGACAGACAGATAGAATATGATGGTTCTGTTGATAGATTGATAGATAAACTGGTTTTTGGCAAGTTGTGAGCCAACACTTCTGTCATAAAGCGGGATAGTGATAGACGTCCACAAAATAAACAAAAGTCAGATCGTTGCACGTTCTTTAATGATTTGTCATCCTCTGAATAAGTAAGTTAAATCTCATAGATGCCCGACTAAAGATAATAAAGATTGCATAGAATTTTAAAAGGTTTTTAAATAGAAAAACCTGGCATATTAGTAATATTCTGTAGACTTTCTTGGAGCCATTCTTTCCCGCATTCCAAACACTGAAAATAAGTTTCTATATAACTTGGTGTATGAACTGGCTTATGTAGTCGTCTTGAAGACTTTAGTCATTTGTCAACAGTGATTGAACTTCATGGTGTAACATTTGTTTAATGAGTGAATGACAGACATGCATTTCAATGTAAAAACATAAATAAATTTGAAAACATTAATAATAAGCTGATTAAATATTTATGAGCAGAGATATAAATACATACAGTTTAAAAAATATGATTGGTATTTCAGTTCTTCATCAGCTTTTAAAAACACTTCAGCAAAAACTGTTTTGACACCATGCTTCATATTTATTCTCTTTTATATAATTATGATTACCATCCAATCTTATATCTTAATTATGCTTTGGGTAAAATACATCTAAATCCTATGTAATACTGTACACCAGCTTTCAGCACACTTTAGATTGCTGCTTACATTTTTACTCATATTATCATATTTATATTCATTAATAATCCAGCATTAAGTTGAATTGTTTAATCACCACTGGTCTTATTGGAAACTGCTGCTATTAACCTGATAGGCTCCGCCTTAAATGCCTTCCGTTTATTTCCAGCTTCAAATGTGACAATCGGAGTCGAACTGCATCACGTCATTAGTGCTGATACAATTCATTTGTTACCTAAATGCTTCGTTATGTCCTCGAAACGATTTCCACATCTGTGCTGAGCCAATATTTACAACCTTTCCCTCAGATAAGGCAGCTATTAATTTAAAATGAGCACAGCGGATAAAGGTGAGGGATAAAGAGGAGTATGGGTTTGAGTGCTTACCGCTGTGCCATTATTAAAGGACGAAAAAATCTGCTGTTAAAATAACTAAATTAAAGGACACTGGGATTAGAAGACAGGGAAGAGGTAATAAAGCAAACAAATAGACTGCAGAGAGGGAGTTTCTCAGACCACCTCCTTTTTAAACTTGATGAACTGAGCCACCTACTCATTGCAATCATCCTCTTTTTAGTCCCTGAGCTTTCCATTTCTTCTAACAAGCATTCATTCAGATAACAGGAGATTTTCCTGTCTGCTACTGTTATGTTAAAACACACATTTTTCCACTACTGTGCACATTAAAGTAGAACTTCATATATTCTTTTGCTGGCTTTGCAATTTATATTAGATTGGTGAGAAAAATACAAGGTACAAGGCAGCATTAAAGGCTTAAAAACTACATATTCCCATGTCAGTGTGAATTCACACATTATTTAGACATCTCATTTCATCTTACCCACACACACAGAGCTGCCACGGGCAAAAACATGGTCTGTGGGAAAAGAAGAAATCGAGAAAACAGGCTCGGCTCACCAACATCGAACATCGGCTGTTATCTCCTCTGCTAAAACTAAAGGAATCAGATCAGACTTGTAAATACCAGAGAGAACAACGTCTCAACAAACACGTCAGGATGACAGGATAAAAGATAGATAGCGTTCAACAAGGCAGTATCAGTGCCAACAGGCAGCCAGGTAAATTCTGCAAATGTGTTAACATTACAACAGAACAAAGAGGGACTTTGCTTCAGTTTGAAAATCGGGTTTAGTGGTTCAAATGTCAAAGTGTTTATTGGCAGTGAAAGTCCTCCCTCAGGATGTTTATAGTGGTACAACTGTGGAGTTGTTGCTTACCAGTAATTATTATTATCAAAAGCCTATTTCATGGATTTTAACAATTTCTTTCTCCAACTCCATTTTTTTTCTTTTTTACAGAGTCATAAACTATATGGTTCTCCCCCAACAATAGATATTGCGATATCAAGACTCTTTTTGCTTATCTACTGCGGGAATGATAACTAACTCCATGCAGCTTGATGAAATATAATAACCTGTTTACATATTTGGTGTAAATTTCCTGTACTGCTTATATTTTCTGAATTTCAAGAGCATTATGGGGGAGATATTTATCTGTTCATTGTCTTTTGCCTATTCAAGCCTGGATCTTGGCAGTTGAAGGTCCAGAAGGAAAACCCCAGGCATACCTCTCTGCAGTAACACCCGATGGCCTAATTTATGGGGTTCTAAGGAATTCTCAGGTGACAAAGACAACATTCCTACTCTCATTCTGGGTCTGGTCTGGGTTTTTTTTCCTATAGAGACTTACTTAACTGTCCAAACCACCTCAACTGTTTCTACTTAAGGTGTTGGAGGAATAGCTACATTATTTTACCCAATTCCTAAGGCTGAGACCAGCCATCCTACAGAGGAATTACACTTGTGTCACTTTTATCCAGGATCTTGTTCTTTCCATTATGATCCATATCTCTTGAACCATAGTTAACCGTTGGAATGTTGTAAAGTAGGAGCTTTGACACCGAACATTCTTCAATACAACAAAATAAAATGATTGATTAAGCATGAATTGTGGCGGACAACAGTCTGGTCTGTCTAACATTCTCCTGCTAGATCATCCTTTTAACCAGGATATTTAAATTCCTCCGTTGAGATCCCAAGACCCACTTCTGGCCAGGATCAGACCACCCTTTCCTACTGGAGACTCTGAGGAGCTAACTTTTATCCTGAATGCTTCATACTTTTCTTTATGCTAAAGGTAATGGACTGAATATCTTAACAGAACTACATTATCCACAAAAAAAATGAGGCTTCAGGTTTTGAAACACACTCTCTCCTGATTAACGATATCAGCAAAAAGTGGCAGTCCTAGCCAACTCTGGCTTCATAGATGAATTTTTTTTGGTCTTATCAAATTCCAAGTGTGTGATTGCAGATGGAGAAATTATTTAACCAAAATCTCTAAATTAATATCTGTTTTTTTTCTGCCTGTTGAATATTTAGAAGCTCTTACAAGTCTCATAGACTGTAGTCATCATTAGCTAAAGTTAAAATGGTGGCAGAGAAGGCAATAGCTTAGTTTTTCTAACCGTTGAATTAAAAAGAGACGTTTTCCCTTCTTGAAACCACTTTCTTTGGGGTTTTGACTTTGGTTACCATATCTCACAACACAAATCAAAATCAATCCAAGCAACAACCTATGAGAAATTGTGAATTATATACAAGGAGTAACATTTCTAGCCACTCATATGTGTGCAGCTCATCTCTTATCATTTGTTTTATTAAAAAAGGGAAGGTGAGAGGCAAAAGCTTATTTGTTTCCAGCAGGGTAGTTGTCAGCTGTGACTGAGATGTGATACAGATTACTCTACATGACAGAAAGAACCCAAAGCAACACAAACAAACAGCTTGTTTTTGACACATGAGCAGTAATCAATTTCTATTTCTAGTATGTGAGACAGACACCCTGTTAGACATACAATTTGTTTTTGACATCCTACAGTTAAAGTTGCCTAGGTTAGTTTTCTCTATGGTAATGCTCCTGTAGGCTTAGGCTGCTGGAGGACATACAGACACATTTTAATCAGTTCTATATTGTACCTCTAGCATCCAATTTTCTATCATCCAGCATTTTGTGTTGCTTCAACTTCTGACTTTATGTTCTGTCTGTTTTTTTTTTGGTCATGGTGGCTGCATTTTTCCTGCCACTCTAGCTGTGACCAACAATTTAAATTTACAGATGACAGTTTTGGGTCATTTACTCATGTTTCAGATTTTGTTTATTCTGTTCAAAGCTGTTATTTTTTATCCATACATTTGAAGCTTGAAAATGACAGATTTCCAGCGGCCAATTTTATGTTATTTTGATATTTCTGTTGTACTTTTATACCATGTAATCTTTATGTAGTGATTTGAACCTTGAAAAAAACATCAGAAGGGTTTTAAGGATATACTTTTTCTGAAAAGGAAATAAATAAGTCAGAGGGTATAAAAAAATCGTTGCCCAAATAATATGATTGTAAATGGCCTGTACGTATACAGTGTTTTCTGGACAATATAGCACTAAAAGCCACACCCACATATTTTATTTTATTTTATTTTTTTACTCAAAATGTACATGTAGAAGCTGAACCAAGCTATAAGCCGCTGATATCTACTGAACTGTCCCAAACGAAGCCTTTTGGGGGAGCTCATCCTATCACCCCCAGAGTAGGGACGTAGACAAACGTTAGCTCCCGTTAGCTTGTTGGCTCGTGGCAGTAAGTGCTTTTAATGAAAGATGGGACTTTGTCAACTCTTTATTTCAGGAGTTTCTTCATTAATTAAACAGCTTTAATGCGGCAATTAAATGTCAAAATGTGTGAATTTGGGAGATCTGTTCTTTTTTGTGCCTGTTGCTAGCATTTGCTTGTGCTAAATGAAAATTTACCCCTTATTTTTTTATTTCCAATTTTTTGACTTCCACCCCTTGGCGGTTAGGAAAAAAATAAATAAATTCAAATAATTTTTTTTTTTTTACATTTTTTTTATTAC